GACAGGGCCTCACTAAGTTGCAGAGGCTGGCCTCAAACATGCAATCCTCCTGCCTCAGCCTCCTGAGACACAGAGATGACAGGCGTGCACAACCATACCCAGCCACCTCTTTTTTTAAAAAAAGGAAGCAAAATTTTGCAGGATCTTGTTGGTAAGGCGCAAGAGTGTTGGTGTGACTCTCAGGAGGCCTGAAAAGTCTCATAACTGTAAACTCAGAGACTAGGTGATCTAGCAGGGCGTGGTGGTGCTTGCCTGTAGTCCCAGCCACCTGGGAGGCTGAGGCAGAATGGCAGGGGCCCAGGAGTGCCATGCTAGCCCGCAGCACAATGAGACCCCCTTTCAATCAGACAACATCCCACAGCAAACACAAACTTGTCCACACATAGTTCCTCCTTGCTTCCCCCAGGCCACTTGCCACCGGAAGGAGAGTGATCTAAAATACAAACTGGGTCAGTGCCTCTGGCCTGACACCCTCAGGGGCATCTGGATGCTCTTAACAGGCCATGGCGACCTTGCTGGCCCCCAATGGCCCCCTCTCTTGATCCCCATCTGCCCTCCCCAGTGATCTAGCCATGATGTGCTCCAGGACCCTCTCGCTGAACGATCACTTCATTCATTGATTTGTTGGTGCCTTCAGGAGACAGGCAGCTCCCTGACACTGGGCCAGGTGTGACAAGGACCCAGGGCACAAAGGTGCACAGGACCAAGAAAGTTCCGCCAACCAGGGAGAAGGCCACCGTAAACAAGGTCTAGATCATTATCGACTGGGGCAGGTACAGTGAAGGAGAAGCCAGGGTCACGGGCAGGAGCAGGGCAGGCCGAGGCTAGCAGGCCTTCCAGGCAAGCCACCAAATTCCAGATGTGCAGTTCAGATCTCAGGTGGGCGGCCCTCCCCACAAAGCCTTTCCCACCCTCCTCAGCAGGGCTGTTGACTATTGCTGACACTAACAAACAGCCAGTCCCTTTTCTAACTCTTAGATAATTAGAATTAAACAAAAATCTGGTTGCTGCTTGGACTGGCTGTCCCTCCCTACAATGGCAGTGGCCACTTGGCCAGAATGTGTTAAAAGGCAGAGAGCAAGACCCAGGCTAAGCGATTTTTAACCAGCTTCTAAGTGCCATAACCCTGATCAAAGCAAAACTCAGGCGCAGTTTACCCAGATAAGAAGTCCTTGTACTGCAGTTATATTTAGGAAATACGATTTTTCACTTCATGACGAACCTTTAATATTGAAAATGCGAATGAGAATACTAGAAAACTTAAGGACATGGGACACTGTTTAGGGGAAACGTTTTATTTTATTTTATTTTTGATACTAGGGATCTAACCCAGGGGTGCTTAACCACTGAGCCACACCCCAGCCTTTTTTCTGTGTTATTTAGAAACAGGGTCTTGCTAAATTACTTAGGGCCTTGCTAAGTTGTTGAGGCTGGTTTTGAACTCATTATCCTCCTGCCTTGGCCTCCTGAGCCCCTGAGATTTCAGGCGTGCACCACTGCACACAATTAGTATCACCATTTGAAAAGAAAATTAGCTCAAAATCATAAAAAACTAGATAACAAATTTAAAACTCCAGGGGCTAGGGATGTGGCTCAAGCGGTAGCGCGCTCGCCTGGCATGCGTGCGGCCCAGGTTCGATCCTCAGCACCACATACAAAGATGTTGTGCCCGCCGATAACTAAAAGAAAATAAATATTAAAAAAAAAAAAATTTAAAACTCCAATGTACACAAGGCCAGCAGCCAACCGGCTTGGTGTCTGGGCCAGAGGAGGCTGCAGTGGGCAGGAAGCAGGGGAGTCTGGTAGCCCTGGGTTTGGGACGTCAACAGATTTTTAGCCCTGAATTCTGCAACATCACCCAGGAAGGGGGCGATACTCTAATGGTGAAAGTTAAAGTGTCATTTTAACCAAGATCTGCTGCCTGTCCTATTTGAAAATATTACTGGGCCAGGCACTGTGGGGCACACCTGTAATCCCAGTGGCTTGGGAGGCTAAGGCAGGAGGATTGTAAGCGAGTTCAAAGCCAGCCTCAGCAACTTAGTGAGACTCTGTATCTCAATAAAATATAAAAGGGACTGGGAATGTGGCTCAGTGGCTGAGCATCCCTGGGTTCAATCCCCAGTACAAAAAAAATTATTGGAAGTTCTGGTTTAGGCTGAGGGCTCTGTTTTTCAACCCCAACTCCTATCACCCTCTTCCCCTTTTTGTCTGCTTTGCCCTCTGGTGATGAGAGCCTGGGAGCCCAGCTTCGGGGTGATTTCACAAGAGTTGTGGTCTCCCAACACTCCTGGGTCCCCAATATTGCTGCCCTGTGGCCCTGGGGGAGTGGCTGAAGTCTTCAGCTCCCATCTCTGTCTGGGCCCAAGTCCAGGAAGTGGGGAGGCTCAGTCTAGGGAAGAGAGGAATGTCCTGAGAGTGCAGTTCTGCCCCAGAGGTCACCTCCTCCCCAGGCTCTCCTAGCATTCCAACACATCAGGGATAGGCTCTGAGTCCCCGCAGCTCTAGGGGGCCTCTTGTGGAGCAGGGGCTTTGGAGAAGAGCCATGAAAGGAGAAGGAAGTACACACCATTTTTTTTGGGGGGGTACTGGGGATTGAACCCCCGGGGTGCTTAACCACTGAGCCACATCCCTGCCCTCCTCCCTTTTATTTAGAGATAGTGCCCTTGATAAGCTGCTGACACTGGCTCTGGACTTTCATTCTCCTGCCTCGACCTCCCTAAACACCATTTTCTGCAGACTGAAAGTGTGTTATGTGGTGGGAAGAGAACGTGTGACAGCTGATTTATAAGGGAAATATGAATATTGCTACATGGGAACCACCCCAAGGACAAACCACAAAGAGGAATTTTAAGCAATGTTTACATTTAAGAAAAATGTGTATTCCCCCCCCCCCCCCAGAATGGCGAATGGAGACTTTAAAGCCATCCAAGACAGCTCTGTCAGTTGAAAGGGGAATATTCGGGAGAGAGTCTTCGTCAAGCCTTCTTCTTTTTTTTTTTTTTAATTTTTTTAGTTGTTGAGTGACCTTTATTTATTTACTTATATGTGGTGCTGAGGATCAAACCCAGTGCCTCGCTTGTGCCAGGTGAGCACTCCACCGCTGAGCCACAACCCCAGCCTCAAGCTTTATTCTCTAATCATAAAAAAGAGAAAACAGTTGGGGCTGGGGACATAGCACAGTTGGTAGAGCGCTTGCCTCACAGGCACAAGGCCTTGGGTTCAGTCCCCAGAAACAAGCTGAGAGTCCTGGATCTAGAGACCTGAATAATTACTGTCATTAAAAAAATGCTCCAGAATGTGAGTCATTTGAGGTGTCTGTCCAACTGGCAAAAAATGTGAACAGAATGAAGAAGCACATTGTTCCCCCACACCTGGGAGGACACAAAGGGAAGCTGTGCCAACCTCTTGCCAGGCTGTGCCTGCTGCATATAGAGGAGCAGACAGGGTCCAGGGTCTGTGGCCCGTCTTCCAGGAGCCACACAGCTTGGAAAGATGAAGCACCGATTTAGGCGTGAAAACGTATAACAGCAGCCATGTTCTCTCCAATACACTCTAGAATAAACGGACATTTCTTGGCAGGGGTAGAGGGAGAAAACTCAAAAAAAGGGGTAAAAATAGAAAAAGATCTGCAGTACAGATTCTGGAACCCATCATTATTTGAATGACTAATCAGCTGTCTGTGAGAGAAGGTCAGCTACCTCTATACATGAGAATTCTGAGGATGGGGATGTGATCTGTCCTCTCTGGTCAAAGCGACCCAGTTCCTCCCTGACCCAGTTCCTCCCTGTAGATCTAGTTTATGGAAACATAGTTCTCATTGATCACTAAGGACACTGAACATTCAGGGCTCTCCAGGCCTGTGCTAAGCACTGCGCGTCAACAGGTCCCATCCTTGCTTCAATTCAGAAACTAACATTCCCTCATTTTCACAGGTGTGAACCCAGGGTCGCAGGTATGCTGGGCAAGTGCTCTCCTACGGAGTCACTCCTAGGACAACTAGTACTAATTTTTATCAGGAAATTACGATGCAGCCAGGTGACTCGGGAGGTTGTGGCAGGAAGATCCCAAGTTCTAGCCAAGTTCGAGGCTAGTCTCAGCAAATTAGCAAGAGCCTCAGAAATTTGGAGACACTTTTTCAAAATAAAAGGACTGAAGATGTAGCTCAGTGGTAGGGTGTCCCAGGGTTCAATCTCCAGGGCCTCCCTCTCTGCAAAAAAAAAAAAAAAAAAAAGACAAAAATCACATACAACATGCTAAGTGCAATAAAACAGAATTTTACACCAAGAGCTTTGGCGCCGTGGTGGGGAATGAATGCTGGCTCCAACACTTACAGCCCAAATGACAATGGACAAATTAACTACTGCCAATCTGGATGCTGGTCTGCCAGCTGGGCATAACACGAGCACCCACCCAGCATCTACGGCACAGCAAGGGCGCAGTGACAGTCACTTTCATCATCGTTCATTATCGTTCCTGTGACATTTGAGCTACGGTAGAAATCAACCCCGAAGAACTGTGCATGCGAAGCGTCCGCTTCTCGGGAGTGACCGCCGAGCCCTCTGCGGAGCAGTCTCTCGCTGCGGACAGGCGGTGCGGGCTCCCACCTCGCGGCCGGGCGGGAACCGCGGAGAACCAGCGTCCGGCGCAAACGCAGCCGCGGCGCAGACGCCACCTCCGGGAGCTGCCCGCGGCCGCGCTCCAGCCTCCCGGCGCCGGACGCCCGCGCCCTCCCGTCCGCGTGCCGGGCGGCGGTCGGGCAGCGCCGCCCACAGGGCCTCGCAGGCGCTGGGAAGACGCTCTGGGCCCGCGGCGCGGCGTCTCGCGCCTAGTCACGCGGTTGTCAGTTCGCGGAGCGACCTGCCTTCCCTGAAGGCGGCGCGGGCGGAGCTTGGCATCCGGGGCTCAGCATCCGGGGCTCCCGGGCAGGCGCCGGGTCTCCCATCGCAACTACGGCCTCTAGCGGTCGGCGCGCCGGCGGGCCTGAGCCGTCTGCGCAGGCGCGGAGACAGTGGCGCCCGCATCCCCTGGGGAAGGGGGTGGGCGTGCGTGGTGACGTCAGGAGACGGGGTCTCGGGCGGCGCGAAGTGGAGGCGCGAGAATGGAGGCGCAGCCTGGCGGCAGTGGTGCAGCAGACCGCGGGGCCGAGGACTCTGCGCCTGGCCCCAGCAAGGCCTCTGGCGGCTCCGGCCACTACGAGCTGCCGTGGTGAGGGCCCAGGGCGTAGATAATGGGCTCATATGGACGTGAGGATGGGCGAAGAGCGGGCCGTGCCCCGGGGGAACACGATGGGGGACCCGGGCTGGTCCTGGGGACCCTTGGGGAGCCGGAGGGCCGGGGGCCGGCGAAGGGATTGTGGTTTGCAGAAGGCGAGGGACACGGGTCTCCGAGCCCACTCGGGGTCTGCAGTGGCCGGTCCTGCACAGCAGTGCTAAGGACAGTCAGGACTACCCGGGTGATCACCCACTTTTTTGTTTTCTTAGTCGCAGTTTTTTTGTTTTTGTTTTAATATTGGTTGCATGTTGACAACGAGGGTACTCTGATTGCGTATTAGGGTCGGTTAATGGTACTGTGAAAGTTAGCTTTACCCATCTTCTTTCTACCTGTTAATACGGCCACCAGAAAACTTTACACACATGGCCCACGTTCTGTTCCTCTTGCACAGCGCTGTCCAAGATGCCTGAGAGACTCGGGAAGGGCACATCCACTGCTGTCAAGGAGCTCACAGTTGACAGAGAGGCAAAGCGAATAGACAGACAAGGGCAGGCTGGGGGTGCAGCTCACCTTCACTGGCTGGGTCAGGCCCTGGGTTCAGTCCCAAGCACCGATAAATAAATAAACCAATAAACAGACCAGTAAATGCACTGTGTGTTTGATAAGACAGATGCTCCAAGGGAGAAATCAGTAGCTCTGGTGGTCAGGAAGGCCTCTGAGGAGGCTCTGACAGGTGAACAGGTTGTGTGCTGGAGGAGCTTCCAGCAGGGGCAGCCTGCAGAAAAGTGGACTTGCCCTTCAGGGAACAGGTCCAGGTCTGCTCCTGATGCACCCAGGACTAATTCTCTCCCTCCTCTGGGACTCCACAGCCCTTGGTTTATGTAACCAGACTGGCACTGTAGTGGGCTCTGCTAAGCTCTGTCTCCCTGTTGGTGGTGAAGTCTTGGGGGCAGGAACATGTCCTGCTCATCCCTGTGTCTTCTGCTTTCCTCTTGTTGAGCCCCTACCTAACTCCTTCACAGTGCTTGGCCCCTGGAAGAGGCGGAGTCTAGAGAATGAGTGGGTGGGAGCAGGTGCTCTCCAGCTGGCCTCTGAGAATAGCTGTCTCTGGAGCTGGAGTAGACCCTCCTTACCTGTACAGGGTGCAACGACAAAGTTTAGTAATGGGCAGGCTGGGGTGTAGCTTGGTGGTAGGGTGCTTGGGGAGCCCGCATAAGGGCCTGCACTTGATCACCAACACCTCATTAAAAAACAACAAACAAAAAATATACAATGGCAAAGGAGGGGTCCTGATGGTTAAATTGTTACAAATACACTGCCACACCTATGCTCAGAGCTGGGGCAAGGCATTTTCTTTCCTCACATGGTTTGCTTGTTTATTTCTTGTGGTTCCCAGGGGTCCTCTACCACAGAGCTCTAGCCCCAGCCCTTTCTTATTTTTATTTTGAGATAGGGTCTCACACAGTTGCTCAGGCTGGCCTTGAACTTGCCATCCTCCTGCATCAGCCTCCTGAGTCGCTGGGATTACAGATGTGGGCCATTCAGCCCTGGCATAGCTTCTTATTTAAAAGGCCAGTGGTGTGAATAGGCCACTTTCCTGTCCACTTCACAGGCTCATGGGATGACAGGGTGGCCTTGGTTTCCATCTAGCCGTCATGGCTGTGTGTATGGCACCTACCTGTGGAAACTGGCAGGTAAGGGATGAGAGAGTTCCAGGTGCGCTACATCTGTCAGACCTGACGATGTCGGGCTGCATGTGCAGACCGTGTCACCTTGCACTGTCACGTTGCTCCATGTAGTTGGTGCTGGCCCCTGTCCAGCTGTAGCGTGTTTCTCTGCCTTGATGGGCGTGGGCTGTGGTGGACGGACCATCTTCATGCACTTCACTTTTCAAACGAAACTTGGACACCTCACTAAATGAAACTTGTGTCCATTGGCTGTGGTTATTTCTTTGGTAGTGGTGATTGGCCCAGGGTGCTCTACCACTGAGCTACATCATCAGCCCGTTTTCATTTTTGAGACAGGTTCTTGCTCAGTTGTTAAGGTTCTTGCTAAATTGTTGAGGCAGGGATTGAATTTGTGATCCTCCTGCCTTAGCCTCCAGAGTTGCTGGGATTATAGGTATGTACCATGTTGCCTGTTCCTTTTAATGATTTCTTTTGGGTTGCATGAAGATAACCTTGTCGGTATTTTTATACATTTTCTTAAAAACAGGGTTGAAAAATACAGGCCAATAAAGCTGAATGAAATTGTTGGGAATGAAGACACTGTGAGCCGGCTAGAGGTGAGTGGCTTTTAAAAAATGCTGTCTTTTGATGTCCTTCTTTGACAAGCTCAAAACATTTAGAGGAAGACGGTCAACTCAGTGAGGGAAAAGTAGACCAGGAATCCAGAAGAATCAAGGGATAGAAGACATTCAATCTGAGGGACACTGGAAGCTCTGGTGGCAACCATCAGTGGTTTTAAAGGACTGGCTTTTCAGAAGTTTCAGACTTGATCTTATCCATCTCTAGCAGAAGAGCCAAACTTTTTCTGTAATGCCAGATAATATCTTCAGCATTGAGTCCCCAGCACCCTCGTAACAAAACAAAACGAAATAACAATGCTTTAAAAATGTGAAAACCAGGGCTGGGACTGGGGCTCAGTGGTAGAGCGCTTGCCTAGCAGGCGTGAGGCACTGGGTTTGATTCTCAGCACCACATACCAATAAATTAAAGTCCCTTGACAACTAAAAAAAATATTTTTAAAAAAAAGTGAAAACCATTCTTAGCCAGGAGACTTACAAAAACAGACTTCGTGGATTTGTCCACCTTCACCCCCAACTGGCTATCCTTTGCCAGCCCTCTGCCTGGAGGAGCTAGATGGCTAAGTGACAAGGCAGCCTCCTTCAGGACGACACAAGGAAGAACATGCAGAACCATTTGGCCGTAGAGCAGGCTTTGAATTCTCAGCCTTGGAGGTCTTTCTGTGCAATCTAGAAGCCCAGCTGCTTGAGAAATGACAGAGATCGTCTCTACAGTAAGCGGGGGCTTAACTATCAGGTTTATTTTGATTTATTAATTTTACAAATACTTGAAGCCAGGCACAGTGGTGAGTGCCTATAATCCAGCAGATCTGGAGGCTGAAGTTCAAGGCCAGCCTTAGCAACTTAGAAAGGCCCTAAGCAACCTAGCAAGACCCTATCTCGGAAAATTAAAAAAGGCTGGGGATGTGGCTCAGTGGTGGACTGCTTGCTCAGCATGCGTGAGGCCCTGGGTTCAAGCCGCAGTACTGCAGCTACAATAAAAAACGTTTGGGCTTCAGGCCGAGGGAGCTTAGTGGGGAGCACCTGCTTGGCATGTAGAGGCCCTGGATTCTGTTCCCCAACACTGAAAAAGAAGGTGAGGACAGGAAGGAGTCACCCCAAGGTTTCAGTTAGGTAAAATTGGGGTTTGAATGGGTTGGTGGCTGGGCTTTGCTATACTGCAGATTGAACCCAGAGCTTGTGCGTGGCAGGCAAGGGTTCTGCCACTGAGCTGTGTTCCCCAGCCTTTATTTTCCTTTGGTCTTAGTTTGAGACGAGACCTCCTTAAATTGCCCTGGTGGTCTCGAATTGGCCATCCTTCTGCCTCAGCTTTGGAGAAGCTGGGATTCCAGGTGTGAGCCAATGCGCTTGGCAAAGCTTTCAGTGGTTGTGTAGTTTAGAAAAATAATTGTACTTACAGCACGAAAAATGAGTTGGCCTGGGGCAGAAGGAGAAGCAGGAGACAGTGACCCTCCTCCAGGAGGGGACAGCGGGGGCCACAGCGGGAGAGGAGCTGGGGTACAGGAGGGAAGGCAGGCCGCAGAGCTGTGGTGACGGTGCCGTGAGGCCAAGGGCGAGTGTGGCCTCCAAGCCCATCCAGGTCCCATCCTGGATTGGCCTGGAGGGCTGGAGAGTCCGTGGGAGAAGAAGCACAGGCTGGGCTTCAAGTTTGTAGGGCTGATGAGTTCCGTTTTGAATGGGCTGAGGTGCAAGTCCCACGAGCCATCCTCCTGGAGAGGTGAGTCACGCGTGTTTCACCACATGGGTCTGTGTGCTGGGAGACTCGGCCCCTGGGCCTACGGGTTAAGTGTTTTTTTTTTTCTTTTTTCTTTTTAAATATCTTTATTTTTCTGTGGTGCTAAGGGTTGAGCCCAGTACCTCACAGGTGCAAGGCAGGCGCTCTACCACTGAGCCCCAGTCCCAGCCCTTTTTAGTTTTCATTTTGAGACATGGTCTTGCTAAGTTGCTGAGGCTGACCTCCAACTTGCAGTCCTCCTGCCTTAGTCTCCCAAGCTGATGGGATTACAGGCTTGTGCCACTGTGCCCAGCTTGGATTAGCCAATTCTAATCAGCCTCTTTCCCGCAGGTCTTTGCGAGAGAAGGGAATCTGCCCAATATCATCATTGCGGTGAGTGCCCTGCTCTGGTGCTGCCCACGGAGTGCCTCTGCACTCTGTCCTTCCTCCCCAGAAAGGCCCTGGGCCATTTCGGTCCTGTTATGGGGAGGCCTGTGGGTCGCTTGCTGTACTGTGCGGTTGTGTGCCGAGGGTGGGGCAGGGTGGGAGTTGGGGGTGGCAGTGGCCCAGGAGCACCCTGGGGGCGTTCTGGTGGCCTGAAGCTCTGACACGAGCCCTCATTCCCAGGGTCCCCCGGGAACTGGCAAAACTACCAGCATCCTGTGTCTGGCCCGCGCTCTGCTGGGCCCTGCGCTGAAGGACGCTGTCCTGGAACTCAACGCCTCCAATGACAGGTGGGCCTGGGCTGGGTGTGGGGTGGGGATGGCGGTGGGGTCCGCCTTCGCAGTTCCGGCTGCGCCTCAGCTCGCTGCCCAGCCCTGTGCTTCTGGTGCCCACCTGTCCAAGTGCCGACTGAGAGTCTTGCTGTTTTCCTTTGTGTTTTGGTGGGAAGTTTTGAAAAATCATTTTAAATTGTGGTGAAGTAGACATAACGCGAAAATGGCCACCATCACCCCATGCTCGGCGTGCACCAGGCAGGGCCAAGCATGTCCCCAGGATTGCACTCCCTGCAGGTGGCGGCTGGCAGAGCTGGAGCCCTGTGCCAGAACCAGCCTGCTCCCCGCCAAGCCCCGCTGCCTGGCTGCCTGCTAGAGCCCACAGGTCTGAGGAGTGGAGGAGCCGCGCCACCGTCCCTGGTCCCTGCTTGGTCAGGCCATGTGGCCGGAGCACCAGTGAGCTTGCCGCCCTCCTCTTGGCTGGGGAATGCCTGCCCCGCGTGTGTCCTTCCAAGTTGTGTTTATTGTCTCTGAAAAGGACAAGAGCTGCCTCTGTCCTTTGGCAATGGCAAGTGGCGGCTCTGTGACCCTGGGGGACAAGCATCTCTTCAAGTCCCTACCTTTGATTCTATGGGGAAAGGGTTGACACCCAGAGTGGACCTGCCTCGTCCTGTGGCTTGTTCGGTTTTGGTGGTTGAGCGGCCGCCTTGCTCTACCAGGTGGCTGTTCACACCCCCGCCAGCTGTGCACAGGGTCCCCATGTCCCCACGTCCTCACCAACACTGGGTATATCTGTTTAGGGTTTGCTCCGTCCTCTCAATGGTGGGCATCTGTTCCCTTCCTGTCACCTGTAGGGACACACCCGCTGCCAGCTCTCAGTCATCACACACCATACCACACAAGTGCTGGGCGGGAGCATCATAAAGACAGGGAACACTGGCGTAGTCAGCTTTCGTGCTACTGTGACCAAAGATGCCACAAGAATCGTAGGAGAGGGAAAGTCCACCTGGGGCTCTCGAGCCATAGACGGCTGACTCCATCACTCTGGGCCCAGGTGGGGCGGAGCATCATGGTGGGCGGGCCCAGGGGAAGAGAGCAGCTCTGGACATGGCTGCCAGGAAGCAGAGAGAGCTCCACCCACCAGGTACAAAATGAGTCCCAAAGGCACATCCGGCCCCCAGTGAGCCACCTCCTCCAGCCATTCCCCAGCTGCCCACAGTCACCACCCAGCAGATCAGGTCACAGCTCTCTCATCCCCTCCCTCCACCTCTGATCCCTCTAGTGCTGTGTCACTGTTAGCTCCTGGGGGACACCTTGGGTCTAGCCCACAGCCAGCACACTGGTCAGCAGACTGTGAGTGCTGATTCATGGGCGTCCTGAGGACAGAGGAGGACTATCGTATGGGTGAGCAAGATGCGGTGTCCAGGGGGTGGTGTGACCAGGTCCTTCCTGTCCTGTGTCCACAGAGATGGAAAGAGATTTGTTTTTTCTCTTTAGAAATACATTGTTTGGGGCTGGGGACGTTGTTCATGGCTGGGGACAGAGCACTGTTGGTCGAGCGCCTGCCTTGTGTGCACAGGGCCCTGGGTTCAGTCCCCAGCACCACACAAAAAGGAAAAAAGAAACATGCTGTCCAGCCTTGATTGAGTTACTGGAGTCACGGCCTGAGGTGGGGCCACCCGTCAGTGTCACACCAGTGGCATCCCTGGTGCTGCAGCCAGGGTCTGGGCAGCCTTTGGTGATTATCTGACCGTTATGAAAACTGCTCATTTTTCCCTTTGCTGAGGTGAACAAGGCCTCAGTGTGCTGTTCTGGTGGCCAGGGCCTTGCTCACCCGGCACACCCCACCCATGAGCCCGGGCCCGGGCAGTGGCCATGGAAATTCTCAGCCATGGTCCACGAAACCTCCCGGACCGCGAAGATGGCAGTCTAGGGCTGGGTGTGGCTCGGTGGCCTAGGTGGCCTGGTGTGTTTGAACCCTGATTCCGTTCTAGCACCACAGTACAGGCTGGCCCAGCCCCTCCCGCACCGGGAGCAGGCCCTGCGGGGCGAGCACCGCCGGCGTCCTTCCCCGCAGTGTCCTCGGCCACCCTGGCCTCCTTCAGCACAGTTGGGAATAAGCGATGGAGCAGTCCCTGGCATGACGGGTGGCCAGCTGCTGCGCCAGGGCACAGGAGGAGTGAGCACTGAGACCCAAAGGGACCCTCGGCTGTGAAGGGCCCCGGGGTCCCGGTGGTGGTTCAGGATAAAATGAGTTTTATTCTGTCCAAAAGTCAGGACATGGTGGTTTTGGTCCTTGGAAGCCCTGCAGGGGAGAAGAGAAGCCCTGAAATATCAGTCCTCCTGAATCGTGAGAATTAACCCAAAAAGAAATTAAAAAACTAAAATTGAGTCCTGTAGTCCCTGGTGGTTGAGAAGGTTTCAGAGTCCCTGTGAAGGGGACTGAATTTGCCTCAAAAGGTGACTTACAATTCTGGTTTATTGTTCCAGGGGCATCGACGTTGTGAGGAATAAAATCAAGATGTTTGCTCAACAGAAGGTCACCCTTCCCAAAGGCCGGCACAAGATCATCATCCTGGACGAGGCAGACAGGTGTGCACCTGGCCGAGGCTCCTGCTGGGCTTTGTTAGAACAGGAGAAGAATCACCTTTGTGGGGACTGGGGACATACTGCAGTTGGTAGAGCGCCTGCCTCACATGCACGAGGCTCTGGGTTCAACCCCCAGCAGCACACACACAAGAAAGAACCACCTTTGAGGTGGGTTTGCTTACCACATCTCAGACAGCAGTTGGCCAGGGGCCTCAGACCTTGGCTTTGTAGCTAACTTAAAGCCATTGGTCTAAAAGCCGGGCATGGTGACAAACACCTGTGATCCCAACAGCTCAGGAGGCTGAGGCAGGACGATCTTGAGTTCAAAGCCAGACTCAGCAAAAAGCCAGGTGCTAAGCAACTCAGTGAGACCCTGTCTCTAAATAAAATACAAAACAGGGCTGGGGATGTGGCTTAGTGGTGGAGTACCCCTGAGTTCAATCCCTGGTACCTCCACCCCCCAAAAAATGTCATCATCACCATGCATTATTTCTTTTTCTGCACTTTTATTTTCACTAGTCGAATATCTCTCATTTGTGGGTCCTACATCTTCCTTTTAACGTTATAAGCCATGATCCACACCCTTAGAATCTTTTTTGTTTGTTTGTTTTTAGTACCAGGGATTGAACTCAGTGGCTCTTGACCACTGAGCCACATCCTCAGCTCTGCTTGTGTTTTATTTAAGACAAGGTCTCACTGAGTGGGTTTAGGGCCTCGCCATTGCAGAGACTGGCTTTGAATTTGTGATCCTTCTGCCTCAGCCTCCCAAGCCACTGGGATGACAGGCGTGTGCCACCGGGTCTTGCCCATCATTATAATCTCATTATGGATGTGTTTTGTTGTCGTTCTGTTTTGTTCTTTTTTTTTTTAATTTTTTTTTTAGTTGTAGTTGGACACAATACCTTTATTTTATTTATTTACTTTTACGTGGTGCTGAGGATTGAACCCAGAGCCTCACATGGGCTAGGTGAGTGCTCTACTACTGAGCCACAACCCCAGCCCTTGTTTGTTCTTGTTTTTGAGACAAGGTCTTTCTGTGTTGTCCAGGCTGGCCTCATTTCCTGGGCTCGGTGATCCTCCTGCCTCAGCCTCCTGAGTAGCTGGTACTGTGTATGTGCACCACTGTGCCAGCTGCCAGTTGCAAACAGATTTTTTATTTTTTTTATTTAACTTTTAAATTTGTTTTTAATATTTTTAGTTGTAGCTGGACACAATATTTATTTATTTACTGTCATGCTGAGAGTTGAACCCAGTGCCTCACATATGCTAAGGCAAGCGCTCTACCACAGAGCCACAATCTCAGCCCTATTTTTTATTTTTTGCGGTACTGGGGCTGAACCCAGGGCCTCATACATGCTACTGCTGAGCTACACCGCCAGCCCTTTGCATTTTATTTTGAGACAGAGTCTCACTAAGCTGCCCACGCTAGCCTTGAACTTATGATCCTCCTGCCTCAGCTTCCTGAATAGCTAGGATTTCAGGCATGAGCCACCACGTCCAGCCATGGTTTTGAATCGTCATGTCATATTCTATGGTGTGGATAGATGCTAACCATTTCACTGTCTAGAGTACTAATGACAGATAACACCTATTAACACTTGGGTGTTAATTTACATTACGCTGGGCCTTGCTAATCACTGCACACAGCAGTATCTCATTTAATTGACAACCTCTGAAGTAGGCAGCCTCATTATCTCCGACCTGTAAGTGGTAACACTGAGGCTGGGAAGATCTGCCTGAGTCCCAGGTCCAGCAAGTGATGGACGCAGGGCCTCTGCACTGAGGCCTGTGTGTAGCCTGCCCTCCTGAGGCCCAGACAGATCCTGGGCAGGCATGGCGGCAGCAGCCCTGGAGACAGTGGCCTCATGCGTTCACCAGGGCACTATTTCTGGTGCTGCAGGCGCCGGGTGCCATCTGACCCGGAGAGTGGCTCGTGGGCTTTCCCACTGGGGGGGTGGCCTGGTGCTGGAGACCCCTGCCCAGGGCCGGGGTGTGTGGTGCGTGCTGAACTGTTGTGGGGAGCCTGTGGCCTGGGCCCGAGCCCAGGTGTGACTTCCTCCTCGTGTGTCCCCTCCCAGCATGACGGATGGAGCCCAGCAGGCCTTGAGGAGGACCATGGAGATCTACTCCAAGACCACGCGCTTCGCTCTGGCCTGTAACGCCTCCGACAAGATCATCGGTGAGCTGAGCCTGCGTGGCCGGGCCTGCGGCTGGTTCCCTGGGCAGACTCAGGCCCTGGTGTGGGGCGAGCTCTGCCCCGCAGGCTGCACCCCTGCTCTGGCCGGGCTTCAAGCAGCAGAGAGGCCTTCTTGCCCGCCAGGCCCAGCCGCCGTGGGATCTTCACAGCCAGCTCCCCTGGATGTCCTCAGAACTGAGAAGTGACGCGTCCATCACGTACGCGTGACATTTTGAAATGCAGTCAGGCCTTAGGTGGAGCTTACGTGACTCTTTGTGGCGACGCTGTCAGCTTCACTTCCTGTTCTGTGGCCGAGCTGGGGACTGAACGCGGGTCCTCACAGGCCAAGCAGCGCTCTCTGGCCGAGCCACACCCGGCCTTCAGCTTCACTTGATTTATGTATTTTTTGTGGAGCTGGAGATTAAACCTGAGGACTCCAGCATTGGAGGCGAGCACTCTGTCGCGGAGCTGCGCCTCTAGCTCCTTAGCTTCTCTTTGTAGAGGAGAAAGCAGGCTCAGAGGGGCTGAGTAGTTTGCCCAGTCACACAGCACAGAGGAGAGCTGGGGTTGAGCCCCTGCTCCGTCTGCTGTCCTCTCCCGCTTCTGCGTGTGTGCGAGGTATGGGATCAAACCCAGGGTCCCGCGTGTGCTGGACAAGCACTGGGCCACATCCCCTGCCCTTTTTATTTTGAGACAGGGTCTCACTAAGTTGCTTAGGGCCTCCCTACATTGCTGAGGCTGGCCTTGAACTTGAGATCCTCCCGCCTCAGCCTCTCAGCTGCTGGATCGCAGGCGTGTGGCACTGCGCCCAACTTTGCCCTGGATTCTTAACACTCGATCCTGTCTCTGACCTCAGCGTCCGCCTGCCCCCTTGCTCAGGGCCTTTCAGTTGCCGCAGCTCCAGTGGGTGACCTCAGCGTCTGCCCTGCCCCCTCGCTCCTGGGCCTTTTGCAGTTGGGGGGGGGGCGGGGGGGGGGTGTTCACTTCCTCCCCTTTATGCTGCAGGCTTCACGCTCAGCCGGTGTCCTCAGGGCTCTCTTGTCCCGTACCTGTCTCACTTCTGCCCTGCTGATCCCCAGCCATGGGAACTCACCTGGCACTCCCTTCTCCACCCAGGCCGTGCGTGCAGCTGCGTCCAAGCCTGCCGGCAGTGCCTGGGATTGGGGCTCAGCCCAGGATCAGGGCTCCCAGCCCCGGCGCCCAGTGCTGCTGGGATGCTCTGTTCTCCCACCTCCCATGGGGCTCAGAGATGCGGGAGCAGGTCTGAGTGTGGAGGTGTCTCCCTGACGTTGTGGGGACCGGCCTCTGGGGGCAGGACCACCCCTCCGTGCAGCTGCAGCGGCCTGTGCTGCCGAGCTCGCTGGGCGCTGGGCAGCTGCATTGGTGGTTGGGAAAGGCTCTGGCCTCCCCTTCCCGGAGACTGATCTCCGATACATTCGCATTCAGACTGTTTGATCATTGTTTCTTTCTTTTTTTTTTTTTGGCGGTGCTGGGGATGGAGCCCAGGGCCTGAGCCTCTAGGCACTCCTTGTGCGACTGGGCTGCAGCCCCTGCCCCCGTGACTTTTCATTTTCAAGAGGGGTATACAGACATTTGGGTTTTTGCCTCAGAGGAAATGGTCCATGGTCCGGCTGCTGCAGAGCTTGGGGGGCTGGGGGCGGCACCAGGGATTGGATTCAGGGGGTCTCAACCACTGAGCCACATCCCCAGCCCTATTTTGTATTTTATTTAGAGTCAGGGTCTCACTGAGTTGCTTAGCACCTTGCTGTTGCTGAGGCTGGCTTTGCACTCACGATCCTCCTGTCTCAGCCTCCCAACCCGTGGTGCTTTCTTTAAGGAAGGCCATGCCTGCTTGATTCCTCGTCTTTTTTAAATTTCTGCGAATTAAGGTTATGGTACATCTTAAAAGAAAAATCCCACAGAGGGAAGACCCAGTTAAAAGAGGCTTATTTCTTTTTCTTTATTTTATTTACTTATTTTTATGTGGTGCTGAGGATTGAACCCAGCGTCTCACAAGTGCTAGGCGAGCGCTCTACAGCTCAGCCCCAGCCCCAGCCCCAAAGAGGCTCATCTTAAGAGAGAGAAAGAGCTCTATCAAAGGAAACTTCTAGAGTAGCTTGAATATTAATTGCTTTTTTTTTTTTTTACATGTTTGGTGGTGGTGGTGGGGATCAAACCCAAGGGCATTCTACCCCTGAGCCACGCCCCAGCCCTTCTCATTTTATTTTAAGATGGGTTTGCTAAGTTGCCAAGGCTGGCCTCAAGCGAGCCTCCTGCTTCAGCCTCCTTGTCTCAGGGGTCACAGGCGCACATCACCACACCTGGCCTTAGGCTTTCTCGAAGGTCTCACCCCATCTGCAGCTGGTCGCATTTTATGTACAGACCCCATGGTGGAGGCCACCTGCCTGCTGTGGATGGACGTGGTAGAGCGGAGCTGCCCCAGCACTTCTGCCCCCACAGGCCACTCCCCAGCCGGACGAGCCAAGTCCCCCCATGTTCTCCTTCCAGTGCTCACGTCCCCTCTGTCCTGGTGCAAGTCAAATCTGAGGGTCTCCCGGTGCAGTGGCCTCCCCAACCCCTGTTGCCCCCAGCCCAGGCCGGGGCTCCCTCCTTCCTTTCGACCTGGTGTTGTGGCCCAGGCTTCTACCCCGGTGGCTGCCAGGGTGGCCCTGGAGCTGCTGGGACCCTCTGCCCCGCTCACCTTCCCATTGCTGCTCAGCGGTGGCCTGGCACGAGGTGTGTCTGCCCCAGCCTTGGCCCCTCCCCAGCTCCTGTCCCCTGCCCTGGGCTGTGCGGGTCCCTCGTCCAGCCTGGGGCCCTTAGCCTGGGGCACAGCTCTGCTGAAGCACCGTCTCCAGGCTGTTCCAGCCTCCGCGGCTCCAGAGCCCGCGCTGAGGGAGGCCATGGGCGCATCCTGCACCCACAGAGCAGCAGGGTGCGTGACCTGGGGTGTGAGGACCTTGAGGGGCGCTTCAGACTGGAGATCGGGTTGGCCAGTGTTACGCCACGTGTGGGAGCCGGTGTGGGAGTGCTGTGTGAGGTGGTTGTGACTTGATGGGACAGACTGGGAAAGGGGACATCGTCAGTGGGAAGAGCCCTCAGGGAGGGAGGTGGGGCGAAGAGCGAGGGGCCAGCGGGAGGTCAGGTGCAGGGTGAGAGGCAGAGAGTTGGCCTTGGGGACTGGTGAAGCTTGTCCTTGGCAGAAGCGCAGGGGTCGGGGGACCTTGCTGGTGTGGACAGGTGGGTGGCCCCGTGTCAGCCTAACACGCAGGACAGGCAGAGCTGCAGGGGGCAGCGCTCATCTCCCGCCCTCGGCCCTGCCACGCAGAGGCTGCGTGGTGTCCGCTGCCACCCCCGCCTGGCCGAGCTGCAGGCCACCTGGGGGCCTGACTCTGGAGGCTGCTGGGTGGCTGGCACTGGCCTGTGGGGCTTGTGGCATGTGGACTGTCTCGGAGGCCGGCTGCCCCTGTGGGAGGCTGAGCTGGACACGGTTGTGCTGCTCAGTGGACACTGGCGGCTCTGCCTGGCCTCCCTGTTGCTCCTGCACACCCACCAGCCGGCAGCAGGGAAGGCGCAGCTGTCCTTGTGACCGCAGTCCTCAGGTGGTGCTGGCCTTTGCCGGGCCTCACCCTCCCCTCCCTGTCTCCGCCCAGAGCCCATCCAGTCGCGCTGTGCGGTGCTCCGCTACACCAAGCTCACGGATGCCCAGGTGCTGGCCAGGCTCATGAGTGTCCTGGAGAAGGAGGAGGTGCGGTACACGGACGACGGCCTGGAGGCCATCATCTTCACTGCCCAGGGGGACATGCGGCAGGTGTGTGGGCGCCGGGCTGGAGGGCGGGCGCCGCCTCAGACTGCAGGAGGGGAGGCGGGAGGTCACCGTGCCACACTTCTGTCCCCCACAGGCTCTGAACAACCTGCAGTCCACCTTCTCGGGGTTTGGCTTCATCAATAGTGAGAACGTGTTTAAGGTACGGGACCCCGGCAGTCCTCACCCGCGCTCAGGAAGGGACAGATGCCTGGCCTGGGACGCGGGGCTGGCCTCGGCCTCTGCTGAGGAGGACCCCGGGGCACATGCACGCCTTGCTCTCCTGTGACCTCCTTGTCACTAAGTCCTCCCCGTCCTGGGAGGCAGGAGGAGCTGGACGTGTCCCATGGATGGGAATCTATGAGCCCTGGGTCAGGGAAGCTGCTCTGTTTGGGGACTTCTTTGGTGGCGACAGGGATGTTCCCAGAGCTCCTTCTGTTGCTGGAGACTTTGGTGTAAACAGCGAGGGCCTCCTGACGCCTCTCTGGTTTGGCAGGTCTGCGACGAGCCGCATCCGCTGCTGGTGAAGGAGATGATCCAGCACTGCGTGCACGGCGACATCGACGAGGCCTACAAGGTGCGCCCACCCCAAGGCTTGGCTTCTCCTGGGCCCCAGGCTGGAGTGCTCTGTAGACCAGGGCCCCATGGTCCCTCGGGGCCAGTCCTTCGCCCACACTGCACTGGCTGGTCAGCCTGGGGTTGAAAGTGTGTCTTTCGGCTTTAATGACATCCTCCCGTGGGGAAATCTGTCACCCAGAGTCACCAGCCCAGCACCTTCCCCAGGGATACCATCTTCCCCAGGGACAGGGGGACCTGTGTCCCTCATCCTCCTGGGGAGCATGAAGATGGGCACTGTGGGGCTGAGCCATCCCCGTCAGCCAGGAGGGGCCTTATCTATCAGGGCCTGGTCCCGTGGGCAGAGTCTGTGGGCACACTTGGGGTCCGGGTGACCTGTAGCTGCCCGCCGGGCCATGGTGGGACTCAGGCACTGGTCTGGCCACAGGATTCCCTTTCTAGGCCCAGCACACGCAGTGGAGCGTGCCTCGGCTTGGGCAGCTTGGTGGGAAGGTGGAGCACCAATCGGGGGCTGAGGTGCGCGCCCTGGCTGGGCCTGAGGAGCCTCCGGATCTGTGGACGCAGAGCAGCCCACCTCGGGTTTGCCCCAAGACATAAAGGCAGCGGCTGTCTCCAGGCCCTGGTTTGCGTGCAGGAGGCAGGAGGCTGGGACTCCCAGGTTGCTGCCCGGCAGGCTTGGTTCTGCCCTAGGTTCACCCATCAGCAGGAGCTGGTACAGTGTCGCAGGCTCCCGGCAGCCATGACGTGGCCAGGTGGTGGACCTGGTGGTGGACTGTCTTGCAGTACCTTCTTGGCGGCAGGGAACTGAGTTAAAGTGGCTCCTGGGATCAGGGTGTGGTCAGCCTGAGGCCCGTGAGGCCCCCAGCATCCCCGTGGGGACAGGTGGTTCTCGGAACCTTGTGGGCTGTCTGGCCCGTGGCCTGCCCCAGCCCTGTGCTGGCCTGACTGGCGTGGGTTTGCCCGGCTCCCAGGTACCTGGCCGTGGACAGGGCTCTGACCTTGCTGTGTTCCGTCTAGATCCTGGCCCACCTGTGGCATCTGGGCTATTCGCCAGAGGATGTCATCGGCAACATCTTTCGAGTGTGTAAAACTTTCCAAATGGCCGAGTACTTGAAGCTGGAGTTTATCAAGGTTGGTCAGAGGGCAGAAATGCCTCAAAGATACGCGCAGCGTTCAAGTTTCTTTGTTGTTTCAGGACTGATGTCGCAGAGATGTCTGTTGTGTCCCCTGACACGGTGGGAGAGAGGGTGGCTGGCTATCTAGGGGTGGGGCAGTCATCTCGTTGGTTTTGCAGTCAGCGACCTGGGCACCCTCAGGTGGCTCTCTGCATCCCAGGTCTCACTGAGTGAGTGGCAGTGGGAGGGTTGACCCGTTGAGTGCAGTGCTTGGGACACTCCCCAGGCCTTGCGCGTGCTAGGCAAGGCCCTGCCGCTGAGCTGTCCCTGGCCCTTTGTGTCTTAAGGTTGGGTGGATGGAGATGTCTTTCATGTAGAGGACGGTTCAGTCCTTTAGATATTATGGTGACGGACAGGCACGTAAACACGACTGCCATTCCCGTCAGAAAAATCCATATGCCCCTCTGAAGTCACTTCCTTCTACACAGCCTAGAAACCCCCATGTCTTCTGTTTTGGAGACAGAAACTTCCAGAATGTCATGCAAATGGGATCTTGCAGAGCCTTCTCACAAGTCTGGCTTCTGCACTCAGCGTCGCCTGTGGGTTCACTGAGCTGAGGCCCAAGGGCAGCCCAACCCTCTCTGTTCTGAGTGTGTTCTGCCCCTTGAGTGTGCCCCCGCTGTCCGTCACCAGGCGAGGGACACTTGGGTTGCTGTGGACAAAGCCACCTGGAGGGTTTGCAGAGTGGATGCCATGTTGTCGTGTCTCTTGGATAGACCCCGGGTGCAGCTACGTGTCCAGTGGGACACAGGTCAGAGACCACCAGGCTGGGGCTGCAGCTCATGGGCACGGGGAGGTGTCATCCTCCTGCCAGTGGGGCCGCCTGTGGGTGGGCTGTGGAACCTCACCAGGCTCAGGTACACGTTGTCCAGCACACTCGCAGGTGCTTAGTGGCCATCTGTGGTCTCTGACAAAGCATCGTGCACATCTACCCATTTTTGAGTTTTTTTGTAAATAACTTTATTCTTATGTGGTGCTGAGGTTGGAACCTGTGCCCCCACGTGCCAGGCAAGCGCTCTGCCACTGAGCCGGCTCAGCACGTTGCTGGGTTGGAGGGTTCTTTGCACGTCCTGGGTGAGAGTCCTCCCTCAGAGAGTCACATAGAGAACTTATGAATCTCCTAGCTTGGCTTTTCTTTTTCTTTTCTCCTTTTTTAAAATTTTCTTAACTGGGGCTGATGTGGCTCAGCGGTAGAGCGCTCGCCTAGCATGTGCAAGGTGCTGGATTTGATCCTCAGTACCCCCTAAAAATAAATAAAGTATCATGTAAAAAAAAATGTTTTTCTTAACAGTATTTTTCAAAGAAATATTTTTCATCCTTTTGGAAGTAAATTGAGCTTGAGTTGCACATGACCCACGACACCCTTGCCTCCCTCCCGGCTGGAGCAGGCTGTGAGCTCAGGCTAACAGCAAACCCTCCCTGTCTGTTAACCTGACTGGAATTGGGCTTGTTTTTCAGGAAATTGGATACACGCACATGAAAGTCACCGAAGGCGTGAACTCCCTCCTGCAGATGGCGGGGCTCCTGGCCAGGCTGTGTCAGAAGACAATAGCCCCTGTGGCCAGTTAGTGCATCCAGGCTGCAGTTTGAAGAGGCCTTGCCCTTGCAACGCTGGGGTCTCCACCTTCCGACGGGGAGATGCCCCACGATGGCGCTGGGCCTCCGACTGAGCTCACCTGCTCCCATGTTCCCTGACCACTTCTGCAGGAGCGCCAGGCCCCGGATGTGTGGGCAGCGGGAGGGCCCTGACCCCTGTCCCGCTGGCCGGTGCTAATAAAGCCTTCCTGTATCTGCTGCGTTTGACTCCCGGGGCCTCCCGGAAAACCAGCCCCCTCTGTGTGCCCCGGCACCCCCCAGGTGGAAAGGCCACTTAGGTCACGGGCTGGACCAGCTAATCTCCGTTTTCTAGAAGCTGGAAGGGCCCAGGTCAGTGGGTGAGGGCGGGTTTGCTGTGGTTTCCTGCAAAATTAAGACTTCTCGGAACAGCGGGGGTGCACTCTCCAGACAAGGGGTGGGCTGGGGGGCCTCTTGCCCCCACTGCAAAGCCTGATTCCACCAAAGCTCCGCTAAGTGGGTGAGGGATGATGAGATGGAGAGGGGAGGGGAGAGGAGGAGAGGGGAGGGGAGGGGAGAGGGCTTGGAGGGCTGGGTCATCCAGCGGAAGGCCTAGACCAGAGAGCTCGCCCTGTGGCCTTTCCTGTGTGGTGATGTGTGCTCTCCTGTGGGCTTCAGGATACTGTAGGCTGCCACTGTGTCTGAACAGGCACTGTTTTCCTTTGTGTGTGTATGGTCGCATGCAGTGCTATGGTTGAACCCAGGGCCTTCCATGTGCTTAATTATGGAAATTTTCAGTTGTATATAGAAGTAAAGAGAGCTGGGCACAGGGCTGCACACCGCGGTGTGATCCCAGCAACTTAGGAGGCTGAGGCAAGAGGCTCGTGAGTTCAAAGCCAGTCCCAGCAGCTCAGCAAGGTGCAAAACAACTCAGCAAGACCCTGTCTGCAGAAATAAAAAGGGCTGGGGATGTGGCTCCCTGGTATCAAAAAAGAATAAAAGAGACTGCCTTGTGACTCTTGCCATGTTCATGCTCATTGTCCTGCCCGAGCACTGCTGTTGACACATGCCAGGCTCCTTGTGTCCCCTGCCCTCTCCCCGGTGATTTTGGAGCAAATCCCAGGCATTGTTTGTGCGTTGGTTTGGATGGTCCTGGGATTGAACCTGGAGGTGCTCGACCTCTGAGCTACAGCCAAGCCCTTTGTATTTGAGAAAGGGTTTCACTAAGATGCCCAGGCTGGCCTCCAGCTTGGGATCCTCCTGCCTCAGCCTCCCTCTCATTTCTTCTGAGTCAGATGCAACTTTCATTCAGGTTTTTCCCAGAGAGAGAAGCAGGCGTCGGAGAACTGCTGCTCCTGAGCCGCAGAGGTTTATTGGGGGGATTCAGTGGAGGGGACACACTTTGTTCCACAGGTGGCATTTGTGGCCTGTGAGAAGATCCCTTTTTAGCTCTTCAGCTCAGCCAAGGAGCAGAGGGCTCCGGAGGGTTCCAGGGCGTCCATTCTGACCACCAGGCTCCCAGCTCCCATGCAAGCCCTCCCTTTTTTGTTTAAATGAGACAGTTGCAGAGGCTGGCCTTGAACTTGAGAGCTTCCTGCCTCACCCCCCCCCCACAGCTCTGATCCCGGGTGTGCCAGCCCTGTGCCCCACCACAGGCACTGTGTCCCAGCAGAGAGCAACTCGTCAACGGAACTCCACACTGGCTTCATCTCTCCCCTGAGTGAACAGAAGCCCAGAGCGAAGAGAAGCCCCACTAAAGGGCAGAGGGGAGGGGGCGCCCTCACTGGAGAGAAGCCACCTGTGGTCAGAATGTCAGTATGTCCCCTCTGGGTGAGTTAACTGCAGGCCTGTGGTCACAGCAAGTCACAGAAGCCACATGAGTAAGCAACTTGGGATCCAAATCCAGAGCAGAAAGGACGCGGAGGCCAGTGTTGCATGGTGTTAGATACGGTGCCGTCACCCTGCGTCCCTGGCGCTGTCACTCAGGAGCCAGGTGGCAGCAGGCCTGCCCCGAGGAGGTCCCAGTTGGGAGAGGGCACCGGGCTGGGGCTGCAGCTCTGGCTATTTACATACAATTGTTCCCCACGGACAGCAGGTCCTCAGGGGCATCTGTGGGTCCTCTCCAGGGGTAGCCCTGGCAGGGACCCAAAAGTGGAGCAGCACTGGAAAGTGGCCCTTGAAGGACAGCAGACACGTCCGTGGTCTGGGGCTCCCTGGGCTCCTGCAGTGCATAGGGAGAGAGTGTCACACAGGAAGGGCGTGGCTCAGCTGGTGCCTGTTCCTCTGGAACCACGGCAGGTCCAGGCTCAGCTTTCAGGTGCCCCTGCAGTCTGGCCTTCCCTGGGTCCTGCCAGGATTTTTTTTTGGAGGGGGGAGTACTGGGGACTGAACCCAGGGGTGCTTAGCCACTGATCCCCATCCTCAGCCCTTTTTTATATTTAATTTGGAGACAGGGCCTCACTGAGTTGCTTAGGGCCTAAGTTGCTGAGGCTGGCTTTGAACTCGCGAACCTCCTGCCTCAGCCTCCCAAGCCGCTGGGATTACAGGCGTGTGCCCCTGCAGCTGGCTGGCACCTGGGCTTTAAGTTCGAGTCCCACCTGTGCTGGTGGTGGATGGGGCACGTGGCCTTCACGTGCACAGGACTGTCCTGTGCTTTCCTCTGCACAGGAAGGACCTCCCCCATCTACCCTGGGCCAGTGGAACTCTCCTGCCTGGACTGGGGCACCCCAGGTTGGCTCTGCTGTCCCTGCTCTCCTCTGCCAGCTGTATCAGGATGCAGAGCCTCCACCAGCCTCTGCCTGACCCCAAGCCACACCTCCCAGAGGTGGTATCTGTCAGCAAAGGACATGCTGTCATGTCATCTTCTTTTTTGGGTCCCTGTTAGGGATACCCCTGGAGGGGACACCCAGACGCCCCCTGAGAACCTCCAGCCCTGTTCCCTTTCTCTGCCTCTCAAGTGAAACTTCTGGAATGATTGCCATTCGTGGTCTCTTAAAACAGGTATCCCCCCATGTCACCAAAACAGCCCTTGTCACCAACATGCGGCACTCAGCTCTGTCATCTTCTCACCTCCCCTGTGCCTGGCTGCCCCCTCCCTGAGCACTGTCACCCTCAGGGCCCCGGAAGCTGCCTCTGCAGCTGCTTTAACCATCACCTTCTGCCTGGGTCCCCATCTGCCTTCCTTCCCTTGGTGACTCTCTGCCAGTCATCTGGCTTTCAGAGCCACCTATGCAGTGACAGTCCCCAAGGCTGTCCAGGCCCAGCTCCTGGCCTGCCCACTCCATGTTGCCTCAACGGGCACCTTGGACTTGGGTGCAGAGGCTCCTGGCCTTCCCCACAGACCCGCTCCCTGGCACCCAGGGGGCCGGCAGTGGCCTCCCTCCCGCTCAGGCCGACCCTGCAGCCCTGACCCTCGGGCCCAAGGCAGCCCTGTTGGGTTCTTCCAGGCTCCACCTGCTGCTGTCCCTGCGTCTACCAGGCCTCAGCTGGACTCGCAGCACAACCCGCTGGCTCTGCCCGGCCCTCCGCCTCCCAGGCACCTCCCTGCCCGGCTCCTCCACCTTCTTGCACCTGCCCCCAGACTTGGGGCATCTGGGGTTGGCCCTGCTGTCCCTGCTATCCTCTGGAGAGCGGGCAAGGCCCCTCGGGCTGCAGTGCCCCTGGCTGCAGACCCTGTGCCACCAACCTGTCACCTGGGCTTGCAGCTGAGAGGTTCCCTGGGCCCACAGGAGAGGGCAGGGCACCGGGTGGGCTGGACAGAAGACAGCTGGGGACAGGGTCCCCCATTCTCCTGAGCACCCACAGACACGGACCATGGCCCCCGCAGGGCTCCTCCAAGCTGTGGGCCCTTCCCTCAGAGCCAGGCGGGCCCCAGAAAGCTAGGGGGTGCCGTACCTTCCTTCCCGTCTCCCCTAGGCCTCCCCAGTCATGGTCACGTCCCCATTCACATAGTCGGGCTCCCCGGCATCCTCCTCTGGGCTTCCTGCTGGACAGGGATGTCCTGCTATAAGGCCTTGCTCTGTGGATGGGGACAGGTGGCTGTGGGAGGGTTCACACCACACACTACCACTGTCCCCAGCTGGGTGCCCAGTCTCAGACCCCAGACCCCACAAAGTGGCCTGCAGGAGACGTCACACTGGAGGGGACTCGCAGCATGCATCTGTCTGTCACCAAGGCTCTCCAGAGTCCCTCGGAGACCAGGCATGCTGCTGGATGGGCAGCCGGCCCAGGAGGGGAGTCCAGGCAGGACCAAGGCCTCTGGGGCTGCTGTGTGCTGGAGGCTCTGCTGTGGAACGGGGGGTGTGGCCGCAGGGAGGCCCACCCCGTCCACCCTCGCAGGCCAGTCCCCAGCCTGCTCAAGATGCACCCTGGGCCTCTGTCCCGGGCCACATACCCACGGCCCTCCTGGATTCCCGCCACTGATGAATGGATGCTGAGTTCTGATAATCCTCAGTCTCCTCGCTGCTCACAGGGACACAGGGATAACCTGCAGGAGGGCCCGTGAGGGGCAGGCCTCCCTTCACAGAGGCCTCCTGTGCTGGGAGCCCACCCAGGGAGGGATCCCCCTGCTCCCTCCCCCGAGGCACAGGAGCTCATGGGCCTCCTTGAAGGAAACGGGGGCACCCAAGGCACCAGAGATGGATAGATGGCAGCCCCCCAGCAGCAGGGACCTCAGCCCCGGCCAGGCAGGGCCTGGCCGAGGACTCACCCTGCCCTGGCCCAGCCCTTGGGGTGGGGCAGCCTCACCTGACTCCAGGGCTCTGGGCTTGCAGATGAGGACGTTCTCGTAGGAGGTGGCATCGTCGTCATCTGCCAGAGAGGGCAGGCATGTGGCCTGTCAGGCGGGTCTCCTCCCCCCTGTGCCAGTGTCTGCTGGGGCCCCAGGACATCAGGCGTCCTCCCTGTCTCCCGAGGTCACAGCCAGATGCACGGGGAGGGCTGAGAGTAGGGGCTGCAGCTGGAGGGGGGCCAGGGGGGCGGGAGGGGGGCAGCAGGGCCTGGCTGCTGGAGGGGCTGGACCCTTCTGATAGGGTGGGACAGGCCGAGGTCATTGGGCTTGGGGACCAAGGCTGGTGTGGCGACCCAGCCTGCACTGGGAGGCTTCTGGCCTCTGCCTCTCCCAGCGTCCATTTGTGGTGAATGGACACCGAGAAACAAGCCCCCCCAACCTCAGAAGTGTGTAGGGGACCCCACATTGGCATGGGCGAGCGTCCTGTTGGGGGCCCTCGGTGCTCACCAGGTGCCCCCGGCCCTGGGAGTTGGGAAGCCAGGCTGCTCGCCCCCTCCCTGGCTCCCTGCTGCTCCCCACCATGGCTCTCCCCTGCCCCCGCTCTGCCCACATCCCCACCCTCTGTGGCTGCCCCATCTCCCCAGCAGCCTCTGCACATCTCCAGATCCACTCCAGCCTCCTCCCTGTCCTTCCCTTCCCCTGCCCTGCCCTGGACCGTGGCCTCTGAGGTCAAGTGCCCACCCCACTGCACCCACCGCCCTTCACCTAACCTTCTGGGGACTTCGTAGAGCACCCCCAGTTGTAGTAGTCTGCGGCAATGGGGTCTCTGGCCAAGAAAACAGACGCAGCACAGGTTGTAGGGTGACCCCACGGGGGACAGTGGGGCTGGGGCAGCTCTGGCCATCACTCCCCTAGGAACCCCGGATCCCTCCCTCCCCTTTTCCTGAGCACCTGCGTCACCCTGGGGCCTGAGGGGTGGCAGCCAGGCTACAGGCACCTTGCTAGGCCCTTGGCAAGTCCCCACCTGCCCGGGCTACAGTTTGCACATTGGTGACATGAAGAGGCACCTGAGGGCCCTCCTCTCCCACAGTCACCTGAACGGAGACAGTGCCCTCCAGCCCTGCCCAGAGCTTCCTCCACTGTAGAAGAAGTTCACGGTTCACAGGCAAGGAAGGTGGGGGGCAGTGGCAGGGGGACAGGGGAGGCGTGGCCAGGGCAGGGGAGGCCACTCACATGTAGGCTGCATCCGAGTCCCCACCGTCCCCTGGAGAGGAGCAGAGAGTCAGGCCTGAGCCCCAGGCTGGGCACCCCCCGCCCCCAGCCAGCCACCCACCTTTGCTGAAGTTCTGGTACCTGGGGGACACGGGATCTGGAAGAAAGGCCAGGCTGTCCTCCCCTGCTGACCTTGCCCCTGCCCAACTGGTCATCCCCGTGCTCACACCTGGCACTGCTCTGTCCCCTGTGCCATCAGCCCCAACCCCAGCTCCAGTGCCTCCTGGGAAGGCGGCCCTGGTCAGCAGGACTCCTGCACAGGAGGGTCCCAGGAGGGACCGCCTGGCCCAAGGCCCTCGCTGGGCTCCCCTCTCCCCACTCTGCTGTCACTCACCGTCCAAGGGGCTGGAGAAGTGCAGCAGCTTATCATTCCTGCAGGGATGGGACAGGCGGGGGCTGGGGGAGGCACTGGGGGAGGCCGGGCCTTCCGGGGGTCTGGAGGCCACAGCCCCACAGCCCTGGGTGAAGCCCTCAGAGTCCAGCCCTGGGGCTCTGGGGCCTGGGAAGGGAGTGAGGTCTGGGCCTAGCAGCAGCCAAGTGGGGACCCCCAGGGCTGCAGGAGCCCAGGGCTTGTGACAGGAAGCCTGCCCTACCTTGCAGGTGCCATGTCAGGGTTCATGCCCGTCGGTGGCCCTGGCCAGGGCTGCCTGACCACTGCAAAAGGCAAAGAGGTGTCGGCCAGGCCCCCTGGTGTGTGTCCAGGCCACGCCCAGCCTCCACCCCGGGACTCCTGCGCCCAGGGACTCACAGGAATACGTGCGCGCCACTGCAAAGCTCTGCCGGTTCTCCTGCCTGGAAAGGTGGGGAGCTGGCTGAGCGGGCTTGGCCTCCCACAGCCCAGGGACACAGGGACAGATCGGGAGGGGACACAGAGCGCAGGGTTGGGAGCTCCACAATGGGCGGGGGCTGCTGCCCCCCAGGCCTCAGACCAGGGTCCTCCTGCCTCCACCAGCAGGCCACGCCCCTCCCACTGGGCCCCCTTCCCACGGCCTTGGATGGAAACCAGCCACCAGCCAGACCAGTCCCCCAACAGGGCCTCCACCTAGCCACATCCTGCTGGGCCCCAGGGCCCAGAGATGGGGAGGGGTGTCTGGCAGGGCTGTGGAGGCCGCCCTAGGCTTCTAGGGCCTCAGGGTTGGGCTGCTCAGGGACTCGTCAGTGACCAGGGGAAGTGATTTCAGCCACAGTGACCAAGAGCCTGACCCCTGCCTGATGCCCTAGGAATGTTTGTCCTCCCCAAGACGATGTCCCCCCTGGGCATGTTCAAAGCTGCCATTTACTCCTCAATAACTGGTGAGCCACATCAAAGCTCAGCTGACAACCAGGCACCCCACCACCACAGGGCTCCCCATTTCCTTTGCAGAACGCTGATTTTGTTTAGGGGGCCATGAGCCCATCTAGAAGACTGTTTGCCAGCCTTTCTCACACCTAGGTGTAGCCATGATTAATCTCCGGGCAACAAGGTACCCTTACACAGAGCACTTCCAGCTGGGGTCCACCCTTTTTATCTTTATCCCTTCTTTATTCCTACTGCTTAGAATGCAGACATGAGGGACGGAGCTCCAGCTGCCACCTTGGACCATAAAGCACCCTTGAAAATGGTTGCTGCCCTTACAGATGAGCCAGTTATCTATTCAAGCAGGTTTCAGGACTCCTTCCCTGAACCAGAATGGCTACCTGGTCCAGACTACCCGGAGCCAAATCAGGGAGGCCTGATTTAGGAGGGATGTCCTAAAGCCACATGACAATCTGGCATAGTTTCCTAGAGAGGGACTGGGGAGCTGGGCCTGGTGACAGTTGCTTTGGGCAGTCCTGCAGGACTGACCCAAGGGAGGTGAGAGAGGAGGGCAGGGGAAGGTGCTCCAGGGAGGGGACAGTCCAGGAGTCCCACCCCCACCACGAGGACATTTAGCCTCTGGCCCTGGCCATCTACAGCTCTGGGATCCACTGGGGACGGAGACCATCAGGGGCTGAGGGGGCAGGGTGGAAGAAGGAAGGGGCTTGGGGGCCACAGGGGAATCTGCAAACACATGGCTCAGAAATCAAGTGTCCACAAGAGCCCAGACAGGCCTGGCCCTGCCCTGGGTGGGCAGGAGGGGGGATTCTATTTCCACACCTCACTGTGGTTTTTCAGTTGCAAAGGGAAATGAGGAAGTGTGTGTGCGTGCCCCCCCGGGTGTGCCCATGAGTGTCGTGATGCTGTGTCGGGCTGTGCGTGTCCCTGAGTGTGGTCTGTGGTCACTCTTACTCAATCACAGGGACACTGAAGGCTACTGCCCAGGGTTGTTCTTGGGTCTCAGTCCCACTCTGGTTCTGTCACATCCAGCAGGCAGCCCCATGGGGCCTTCTCTCCCAATCCTGCCCCCTCCTGGGCCTTCCTTGATCCCCCAAGGGTCATAGCCATACCCCTTCCTGAGCCCCTTGAGCATTTCCAGGGGGCCTGGGACTTTGCTCACTTCCTGTGCCCAGCTCTCCCGGGGGCCATGGCCTGTGAGGCTGGGCTCCCCTCTGCCCAGCCCAGTGAGAGCTGCTGGGCTGAGGTCAGAGTGAGGCGAGGACAGGTGGCCTGGGCCTCTGAAGCTGGAGGTGGCTGGTCCTGCCCCAAGCCTTCCCTGATCCAGGCTGGGGTGGGGCCTGGACAGCCCCTGGGCCCTCTCTTCCCCTGCCCTGACTCTGGGGACCCTCTGGAGCCCGCCCCGGGGTGGGGTGGGGCAGGGAGGAGCGGGGCGGGTGGGTGCCCACAGGGAGGCCACTCACAGGCTCCTCTGCTGGTAGATCTTCTCGGCCTTCTTCAGCCCTGCGGGAGAGGTGGGGTACTGAGCCCCAGGGACAGGTCTGCGGCCCCTCCTCTCACGTCTCCCGTGCCCTCTGCAGGACTCAGGCAGGACTCGGGGCCCAGCCAGCCATGCTGTGGGCCGCCGGATGTCAGGAGAGGAGGGCGCAGTGCCGGGCACCCCAGGCACCCCAGCCACCCTCCCGGTACAGAGTGACTTGCCCCCCCAGAGACCACCCTTGACCCCTCAAATCCAAAGCCCCCGTGAAGCAGACCTGTGGTCCTCAGAGGGCAGCTTTGCGGCCAAGCCAGCTCTTGGCCTGGGAGGTCTCTGGGACATTCTCACTGTCCCCATCCCCTTACCTGGGCGCGAGCAGCGCACACACAGCCCGGCCGCGGTCCCCAGCAGCAGCAGCAGCGCAGCCCCCAGCCACAGCAGCTCGGTCCCGGTGCTCATGTCCGCCCTGGTGACCCACCGGCGCCTGCAACAGGCCCTGAGTCAGGCCGGCCCCCGCTCAGGCTCCTGGCCCCACTGGGCCTGGACAGCCCTCATTGGAGGCCACAGCGTCTTCCCTCCCTGCTCCCGGGACTGATGGGCCGCTGTTCTCCATGGGACCAGCCCCCAGGCCCTGCCACTGTCACCATGGTGTGAGCTGGGGACCGAGCCCATTAATGGATGCAAGCACACCTGCGTGCAGCCCAAAGCCACTGTCCCTGCCCAGCCAGCCCCGAGGGACAGGTCACCCCGATTCACAGATGGAGAAACCCAGGCTGGGGTGACCACTCGTGGCTACCCTGGCCCCAACCCGGGCTCAGCTGGCCACGACCTGCCACGTGTCCTGGGCTCCATGGGACCCGGGGTCTGAGGTCCCTCCTCCCACCTCTGAGAGCCCAGGTGCCCACCCGACACCCCCACACTGGCGCCCGGGGCCACCTCTGCCTCCCAGGACCTGAGAATGGCACTTCCTCCCGCGAGCACCTGTGATCCTGAGTCCCGCCCCCCCAGCCAGGAGGGAGGTCAGGAAGGGGCCCCCAGGGGAGGGAACAGCTGCCCACAGCATCTGGCAGTGGGCTGCACTGGGGTGGCAGGGGTGGAGGGAGGACAGTCGGGGTGAGGAGCTGGCAGAGGGCTGCCACACAATCCGTGACCCTCCCTGCCTCTGGGCCTTGGTGTGCATGCCACATGGGGAATGAACTATAATGGCACTTGGCACTGGCAGGGACACAGGGGGGCTGAGCCACTCTGTGCCCACCAGTTCTCCCCACCTCATCCCCAGGGGAGGGCTTGGAGTGGGCACAGGATGGAAGAGGGCTCTGTGCCACCCGCCTGCTGCCCCAGGCTGGGGCTGGGGACTAGAGCTGTCCCCTTGTTCATTCTCTGTGCTTCCGGGGTGATGGTGGCAAAGATGAGGAATCTCCATGCAGCCCTGAGCCATAGGGGGGCCGTCACGATGGCCTCCTCACCCGCCCCAAGGCCATGTGAGTCAGTGAGCACAAGTGGACCCGCAGACCTGTGACCAGCAGAAGCCGCGTCACCCGGGACGGTGCCCAGGGGAGCTCGGCTCCCCTGCCCTGGCCTGCTGTGCCTTGACACCCCTCCACCTGGGCAGCCGGGGCCACCTCTTCTCCAGCTGTGTGAAGCGGGAGCACCTAGCCTTGGGGAGGACTCCTGGGACCAAATCCCGCCTGTGCCCAGAGCCTCCAGGCCTCTGTTTCCTATCTACAAAATGGGGATCAGCCCCAGGCCTACCCATGTTGCTGCTGGCCGGGCCAGCTCGGGTCCCTCTTACTTCTGGTTGCCTGGCTTGCCCTCCCCTGCTGACCCCAGTCATCTTTGTCCTTTGGTTAGGACAGTGACTCTTTCTACATCCTAAGACTCGGACACAGGCACGTTGGTGGGCTGGGGGCCCCGCACCAGAGGGACAGAGGGCACACCACAGGGAACAGTCTGCTTAAGACCCCAGGAGTTGACCTGATCTCTGCTGCTGCCCTCCAGGTACCTCAGGCCTTCCCAGGGAAGATGGCCTTCCGCCACCAGAGCTGACTGTCCTGGGTGGGCACAACTGTGGAGTGCCCTCAGCCCTGGGCGAGGGACAGGTCAGGCCTGGTCCATGTCCTCTCACCTATTGGACAGGGGAGATAACGACACTTGCCCCTCAGGTCTGTCCTGAGGCCCGGCTTGGACTTGTGACAATGCATGTGGTGCAGGGCTGGACCTTGGCGGCTGTGACCACTGGGACTTTTGTCACCACTGTGGTTCCCAAGGACTGTGGTGTGAGATGCCACAAAGCTGAGGGTGGCCTGCAGCAAACGCTGTGGGCAGCTGTGCTGGAGCCTGCCTGCCTGGCTGCCCGCAGACACGGAGGTCGGAGCTTTCCCCCACAGCCATGAGGGTGAAGGGCCAGGGGCCTGGGGAGGGACAGGGCCAACGCCTGGGGCACCCGCCTGATCCGAGACTGTTCCCCAGGGAGGCTCCTCCTTAGGGGAGCAGCAGGGCCAGAGGGTGCTGTGTCCAAGGAGGCAGAGGCCGGGTGCAAGCCCAGGGCCGGGGGCTTTGCATGCCCCTCCCTCCCGGTCCCCCTGTGCCCCAGGCTGACACTCCACCCTGTCCCTCGGCCTCCCACTGCCGTCCAGGTTTCCAGAGCAGGTGGTGGCAGGCAGCAGGCTGGGCCCCTGGGGCCCCCCTGGCAGCCCTAAAAGCCCCAAGGGGCCAGGTGGGGCTGGGCGGGGTTGGCCTTGGCTCTGGAGGCCAAAATAGCGCAGAGGGGGAAGTGGGCAGTTTTCATATGAGCAGGGTTTGCTGACAGCGGCTGTGGGAAAGCGCTGGGTGGCGGCACCAAGGCCCCCAACCCGGAAGGGCCTCACACACCATCCGTCCAGTCGCCCAGCCTGCTCCACGTGCTGGGGACAGGGACTCGGGCCCAAGGGCCAGGGCAGTATGAGAGGTGGCACCCGAACTCCAGGCTCTGGGCCGGCGTGATCACGGGCGCTGCCCTGGGGTCTGTCTCTTGGTCCAAATAAGCCTGGGTCTCCAATGAGGCTGGGGAGAGTCCTCTGCAGGGGAGGCCGTCCGCCCAGGTAGGGGCAGGGGGAGGAGGGGTGGACAGGCCCGGCAGCCCTTGTCCCAGAGGCTGCGATGGTGGTGACGGCAGGGTGGCTGAGAGGCTGGCCAGCCACAGCCTCCTGTCAACAATGTTGGAACAAAGAGGCCTCCAGCCCCACCATGGCTGTCCCCTCCAGCCCACCACGGCTGTCCCCTCCAGCCCACCACGGCTGTCCCCTCCAGCCCACCACAGCTGTCCCCTCCAGCCCCTGGCTGAGCTGCAGGAGGGTGGGCCTGGCACACTTGCCTGGAGTCCCACAGCAGAGATAGTCCCACTTCTGGACAGTGACGGAGCCACCCTGGGGGCTCTCAGGGCCATGCTGGGCTGGGCTGGCGGGGGCAGGAAAGGGGCCAGAGCCACAGGGACAGCTGCTGAGGGCCCTGGCCACAAGTGCCAGCGTAGGAGGCGCCAGGAGTCCCTGCCTGTTCCCACCCACCCAGTGGCCACCAACTGCTCCTCTGGGGTTGGGGACAGCCTCGGGGCCTCTGCCTCAGCCAGGCTCCAGGCACCCTGGGAAACACTTACCTGAGAGTCAGGACGCCTCACTGCGGCCACCCCATCCTGTGCCCACACATGCACCCGCACACCTGCCCGAACTGCCGCCAACGCCACAGACTGGCGGGCAGCAGGCGAGGTGACGGGCTTCCTGTCAGCCACTGAGTCATGCTCACATCCGCTGCTCGCCGGACAGGCTCAGCTATTGACAGAAAGGGAGGGACAGAGGGCACAGCACAGGGAACAGAAAGACGCGGACACACATGGGCAAACACGTAAAGACCCACCGTCACACCCAGAGAGGAGACGCACCACGGGACGGGGACAAAGAAGGAAAGCTAGATGATGGTGGAGACAGGGAGCAGGCTCAGACACCACCACACACACGCAGGGACACGGGACGCTGGGGACCGGGTGGAGAGATGTGTGGCACATGCATACCAGGGTGGAGCAGATGAGGACATGTGTGCAGAGGACGGAGAGCCACGGGTGGCAAAGGAAGGCCAGGCCTGGCGCAGGCGGTTGGCAAGGACCTGCAGCTGCCCTGGATGAGGTGACCGACCTCTGTGCCCAGCGGCCCTGGTGGGGGCCACAAGAGCACATCCTCTGGAGTTGCCAGTGGCCCGGCCATCCAACCACCCAAGCCCCTGTGGCCTGGAGGGGACTGAGCCAGAGCTGGCGGTGGCTTGCAGCCAACACTGTGGGCAACTTGGCCCAGCCTGCCCACCTGGCCACCTCCAGGGAACAGGACCTCAGCTTCCCCGCAGGGCCCCGTGGGGACGCAGGGCCTGAAGGAGGGTGGATGCCTGCGTGCCCCCCCAGGTGGGTTCAGCGGCGCATTCCCCAGGGACGGCCTCTTATTGGTGGGATTCACTCGTGCGCGGCACCCCGTGTGCCAGACACCAGGGCACGAGACAGGGAGTCCCAACCCACAGCAAGTTTGGCGTCTCAGAATCCAGGCCCCCAGCCCTGGGACACCACTAGGGTCTCTCAGCCTGGGTTTTGCCGTCATCCTGTCCAGGACAGTGCTGATGGGCAGTAAGACCTGCCTCTGCTGCCACCCTGTGGGGGAGGAGGGTAGCACAAGTCCAGGCCCTGGCTCAGGGAGACCCTTGGGCGCTGGCTCAGGAGTTGCCCTGTCCCACCCATGGGACAGACTGAAGCCAGCACCATTGACTCCCAGTTGGTTCCAGGGTAAGACCAGCAGCCCTGTTCCATGGGCATCACCATGTGCACTGGGCTCAGACATCTTTCCACAGTGACACCCAGGGCAAGCTGGGGCGCCAGGCCAGTCCTCCCACTGGGACCATTGATCTGGCATCCACATACTTGAGGACATCCTGCATTGGTTCTCCCATCCCTGGACCGTGTGCCTGGCTGGGTCACCTCTGGCAGGGGCAGAGGAGTGACCCCAAGTGCTGAGGCCCACCATGGCTGGGGTTCTCCCTGGGCCCACTGGTTCCCAAGCCCAGTGGTGGTGGTGGTGCCTGCCAAGACGGTTCTAGGTTGGCCCCGCGTGGAGCCCCCACCTGGGCACTGCCACACTCCCCAGAGGCTGTGCGTAGGTTCTTTGCTTCGTGCAGGGGAAGGGACCCGGGGCCTCCCCATGCCAGCTCTCTGCCTCTGGGCTGCCAGGCCCTTCTCTAAGTTCCACACCTCACCTGCCATCCAGTGTCAGAGAACAAAACCTCCAGAAGAAACCAGAGGCTCGCTTTCAGCTGTAGAACGTCAGGAGCATCTTCCTAGTGGAGTCCTTTGTTATTTAACAGTCTGGGTGCACCCGCCTCTGGCCAGAGAGGCCCAGCACCACTAGAAAGCCTTGATATACTTAAAATGTATTCAACACAAAATTTATGGGTTTTTGTGGTTTTGGTGGTGCTGGGAATCAAACTCAGGGCTCACACGGGCCAATACCACCACAGCCCCTCAGTCATTTAAAGTGTGATCAGAGGCACAGATGACCTCAAATGCTGCCCACTCTTTTTTGTTTCTCTGTACCGGTGCTTGAACCCAGGGGTGCTTTACCACTAAGCAACATCCACAGCCTTTATTTGTTCTCTTAATTGAGAAAGGATCTAAGTTGCTGACTCTGGCCTTGAACTTGCAATTCTCCTACCCATCTCCCCAGTTGCTGGGATTACTGGCGTGTGTACTACGTGTGGCCCTCAAACCCTTTCATCACCCTGAATGGATGATGATTTGGCTCTCAACTCACAGCTCGGTAGCTGTGCTATGCACATGTGCTGGAAAAGATGACTCCATAGTACAACCTCTCAGCGAGAGCCAGGAATCTTCCAGGGTCAGAACTTTCACAAAGGCTGGTAGAAACTGTCAGTTTTCTTTTTTCTTTAGAGAATTTTAATATTTATATTTTAGTTTTCGGCGGACACAACATCTTTATTTGTACGTGGTGCTGAGGATCGAACCCGGGCCGCACGCATGCCAGGCGAGCGCGCTACCGCTTGAGCCACCTCCCCAGCCCCAACTGTCAGTTTTCTTGAGGAAAACATACTTCATGCCCACTGTGAACTGAATCTAGAACATTCCCTTATGTTCCAGATGCATTCTCTTCTCTTTTTGATCTTATTCTTTGGGTGTACTTAAACTTAGTTACACAGACATGTAACATGTTGTGCTTAGGCATTTGGAATTTCCCCTCCTGCGGCACTGCCACCGGCCACCCAGAGTCACGTAGCTACAGGTCAGTCCCCTAACTGCGGCACAACTATCCAATATCTGAATATAGTTTCTGTCTCAAATGGACATCAAATTTAGGTGTGGGGTGTGTGCCTGTCACCCAAGCCATTCAGGAGGTTGAGGCAGGAGCACCCCAGGGTGAGGCCAGCCTGGGCAACTCAGTGATGACTGGTCTCATGGCAGGGCTGCAGCGCAGCGGTACTGGGCTTAACCCCAGCACTGCACAAAACCAAGCAAAACGAATCCACAGCAAGTTGGCTGCAGGCATTTTAGCTGCTGGGGAGGCAGCCTGGGTCAGAGAGTATGGGACAGTCCCATTTGCAAGTCAAAAGCCGAATTCCAGCCAACCCCTGGCCCTGGCATAGCTGTTACCAGTTTGTACCCACCTCCAAGAGGCCAGCAATGGAGGCTTTCTTCTTTGTGGGCCTGGGGTCTGACCCTTGGGGCATTTTACTGCCAAGCTACACCCCTTAGACCTAGTTTCAGACAGGGTCCCACTGAGTTGCCCAGGTGTGCACTGCTGTGCCAGCTTGTGGCCTGGGGAGGGACCCGGGGCCTGAGGAGGCCTGAGCTGTGCTCCCCCACTCACAACCCACAAAGGGATTGGACTGCAGAGGAGTGACCCAGGGGCGGGTCAGGTCCTCCAGGGACCCCCCCAAATCCACCTGGAACGTGTGTGCCTGCCTGCTCCCTGGCTCATCCACCCCTCTTTGGAAGATCAGAAATACCAGCCCAGGGCAGTCTATGCTGAGCACCATGCCCACAGCTTCCACCCCCAGAGTCCTGGTGCCCCGCGGTGTCGCGGGAGGACCTAGGATTTCTTTTACAAGCAGCTACTATTAAAACACACACACTCACACACACCCTAAGCATTTGCTTTTTTCCATCTTGGGAAAAGCTGTTTACCTAACAAAAAGCTACCACCAGGCCTGGAAGGTTTGCCAGTTGAGGAAATTACATTTTAAGGAAAGGGAAAAAAGGGGCGGGGGAGACTGGCATCATTTCTAGCTTTTAAAAATAAATTCACTAGCCCTGTACCTTACATGACAGTGCGCTCTCCTAAACCTGGATGGTGCCTCCCAAATCTAAAACTGCTAATTTCACAAGCAGCTTTAAAAAAAAACTCAAAAAAGTAAAGACAAGCATTAAATATTACGTAAGGTTTTCTTTTATTTAAAAGATCATTCACAAAATACCATATCCATAGATTTACTTTCTGTCATATAACTGAATGTGTTAAGTGTTTGGAATTCCACTCTTTTCTTACATTTAAAAGTCAACTGGACTGCCCATTAATGAGTTTGCTTTCTTCTTTTATCTTTTCCACACTGAGGATGTAAGTAGGTCATCTGAGAGCATCAGGTTGGTACAACCGCACAATGCATGTCTTTCTTAAGGTAAGTACTGTGTTACACAAATGGTTCTTATCTCAGAAGCGGAGAGGATGACAGGCGGAAGGTAGGAGAGAGAGTTCTGTAAATTGCTGAGACCTGGTCATGGGTACAAGGAGCCAGGATGACAGCTAGCCAGGAACTGCCACCAAAGCACACCACGTGAGCAGGCCGGGCTGCCCCTTGGCCCCCAGCAGTCCTGGCCTCTCTTCCCTAGGGCTCGAGGAGCTAACTAGTATCCCACCTGCTCACACAGTGGTGTTCAAGCATAAATGCCACTGCCTAATGCCACACCCCCAGGGGAGGGCTGAACACTGTACCCAGGAGCAACAGACTGTCCCACAGATGAGAACACACCCAGACATGTGTAGCCAACCAAAGACGCGGCGGCTCTTGACAGCTCTGCATGTAAGACTTTCAATTCATCAAGTGAAACAGTCAAGTGCTGGCCGGGCTCTAGGCCCACTTTCACGGCGAATTCATGGGGGAGTGGGAAGCAGCCTCTGTGTTGCTTGTGCTGGGGAACAGAGACACGAGGGGATGCACAGCACAGACGACAGGGGGACAGGAGGAGCTGCGTTGGCCTGGCCGCACTGGCCAGCACCACCCCTCAGCCCCATGGCGCCCCCGCCTGGAGGGAGCAGTGCAGCCGAGCTGTCAGCACTACACCCAGTAGAGCCCAGAGCCTCAAGCACCTGGGGGTGGAGGGAGGACTCTGGACACTCCTGGAAGAGCGGCAGCAGAACCCGGAGCACAGTACTGCTGGTCACTGTGTGCCTGCCCGACGCCCGCTATTCCTCCCTCCAAGGCTTCCGGAGATGAGCCCATTTGGCCCAGACAGTCCTCCAGGGGGGGCGCTGTCAGGGACCCCTCTAAATAGCAGCAGGAAGCAACCTGCAGGGATCGACAGGTGTTTTTCCTTGTTTTAAAACAAGGGTCAATTTTGTCTACTGATCACAGATCGATACAAACTGAGATGCGGCTGGTGGAGCTGCTGCACCTCGGCTGCTTCTGGAAGCCACAGCAACAGAACTCAGCATGCAGGGCAGGAGAAGCACTGAGAAAAACCAAGGGAACACCTGGAGTCTGGCCAGTGCCAAAGTAAAACGAGGA